CCTCTCTTTCTATCTTATGGAAAAAGTAGGAAAAGTGGGGGTAACTAGCAGTCCAGAGGTATGTAGTCAAAGTATATGTACGCATGAACACAATATATTTATTTTATCACTAAAATTATTTTACTCGCTCTTTTCCTTCCTCCACAAAATTTGCATGATTTCGTGTTTCTTTATCTGTTTTATATAATCATCTAATTGCTTTAATTCCGCTGAAACTATATTGCAAAACAAAGTGTCTGGATCATTCTGTATTTGTGCATCATCTCTTTTCGAATTCAAATGCTCTAGAACTGCTTTATTCAAATTAATAAAAGACATTTCGAAATTATCCTTTTCAGATTCTTTATTTTTATTATCTTTTTCAATTGAGATATTTGGATTAAATTTTCCTTTCATACATAACGGCTTTTTAAAATTGTTGGTAGATTTTACGCTAGTTGGAGAAAGGAGTGAAGAGTTATTCTTGATGGATAATGAACGACCTGATTGATCTATAAAATTGTTCGTATTACATTCTGATGTCGAAGAAAAAGATGCGCATAACGTATCATCGGGGTGATCCCGATTGATCACGGCTCGATTGGACACCACCAATCACAGCGACCGGTGCTTAGGAGCTTTGTAGTCTCAAGCGCTGTGAGTGGCTCGTGTCCAATTGAGCCGTGTCCAACTGGGTGCCACTCGTATCATCAAAATTACTGGCAGTAATTGTTTCCGACATTGGTCGTTTTTTTATTGGTGAATATGTATTTGCATCAATTTATTCCAATGGAGTTCTTTTGCTTTCCAGAGCTCGTTTGCCATGCTGTATCCATTTTGAAATTTCATTATTTAAATTCTCGTCTTTCGAACAACCAAAAATATTAGATTCTTGAAACTTGATATTAGTCATTGAACTGAAACCATACTATATTTGATTAAATTTGCGGATTAACAACAATACGGTAAAACATGTTAATTAATTTTTCTTAACAAACACGGATAATCAAGAAAAAAATTAAAATACAAATATAATAAATCTACTTCTAAAAATTATGAAAAAAAAAGTTACAAAATCAAAAATACTAAATTCATATTTTCTCGTTTTGACAAATTTGTCAATAAATTTCATAGATTCGAAGTATACAAATCCTCGTCTTGTAGAGGCTTTACTTCCACTTCTCGTTTCATCTTGTCTTTTTTTTTTCGAGAAAAATTCTCTCAAACAAATCCACCGATTGCGGCAAATATGCACTAAAATATATGTTAAATATACAAATTTAATAATCAATTAATTAATTGAATTCGACTTTAGTACAAATGATGTTAATGAATTGAATAACTTATTGTTAACATTGTTAGACATAAAAAATGAAACTTACGAGACGTGTCCAAAATTTTAGATATTTCTACCCAAGAGTTCTCTTTTTTGATCACATCACGGTAATCTTTGCAACTACTGTCATATAAATGTGGATAGTTTTTGACAAGATTTATTAAAATGTCATCAAAATTTCTATCTTTGTCATCCTGTAATGTCACTTCAGGATTCAGGTTTTCGTTTACTTCAGAATACCGGCCTTAGGCCCTATTCCAGTTTCACAACTCACGGTTAACTATTAACCGAGGTTCAATTTGTTTCTCATCTCTTTCCAATTCTAGAATTGGAAAAAGATGAGAAATAAGTTAAACTTCGGTTAATAGTTAACCGTGAGTAGTGAAACTGAGCCTTAACCTGGAAACACAATAGACATAGGCAATAGGCACAGGCAACAGGGAATAACGAGCCATCCAATCACATGGTATAAGGATAAGGGTATGCTCACGCGCATGCGACCAATCAAAATTGTCGAAGTGTGACGTCACACAACAAGCGGTAAATTTAAAACTGCTGTTTCCAACCAACTTATGTTAGCAGCATTCTCGTCAGATATTTTATTTTTATTTAAAGTTTACAGGGAAAAATACGTTTTGAAATAATTTAAGAACTAATGAATATCCTGTAACAAAATGTAACATAAGTAAACATTACAAACTCAATAAAGATAGAAGAATTTATTATGAAATTTATTATCTTATATTTAATATCTATTTCTAATATTTTCTCTCTTATGCGCAGGCCCTAAGGTTACCCTTTGTGGGGATAGTTAAATATCAACAATAATAATAACACGTATATACAAATGTTATGAAAAGGATTTATTATTTGTAAATTTCATTAACTTTTTTCTCTTATTCTTATATCTATTTTCTACAGCAATATTTTATACTGTTTCCATTAAGCAATTTTGTTTTGCGAAAATAATTGCCACAACCTTTCACAGAACAGGACATTGTGTATGTAACACCGAACATTAATATCGTGTCAAGCATCAGGAGCCGCCATGTTTTCGTTTGGGCGGTCTGATTGGCCCTGAGAGTGACGTCACACTTTGACTGCGCAGTGGGTATCCACGGCGTGAGCATACCCTTATCCTTATACCATGTCCAATCAGAGCTCTGGGATATAATATCAAACTTATAGCGTATTCGATTTACTGACTCGACCCGACTCCGAGTCAATAGTCTGTTCTGTTTAGCTGCAAAAGAAGA